CTATTGTCAAGATAATTTAATGGAGATTAATTCTATACTTGCTAAAAATTAATTTAGTGCAATAGAAACGGAAAAAAATATCAAAATAGGTCAAAAAATTTTCCTGTCCGTCATGTATGAAACTCCGGAAACACTGTAACTTGTGAAAAAATTAATAATTTGAGTTAAATTTTTTTTTTAAAAATTCTAATCGATGATTGTAGGTCACTGAATGCGAATGATTAATTAATTCAGTGTCGTTTAATTACAATTAATCAAAAACGAAAACTACAAGACTGTATATCTATATATATCCATGTAAAATTAACATGGATGGTGACATATCTATAGATATTATGTACATTTATTCCACCAGAGGCGCTTGTGCAGTACCTTCCTAGTACAGCTGTTTTTTCGGCAACTAATTTTGAACGACTTATGTTTTTTTTTTTTTTTTTTAATATTTTATAATTAAATGAGCATTATGAGTCGTGCACTTTTGGATTTTCCAAACTTTTTGAATTAGCAAAGATGCAATTGATTTATTAAAACAAGAAAAAAGTCACTTTTTTCAACGTTTTACAAATCAATTTGAAGGTAGAAAAAGATTTTTTTCTCTAAAGATCATAAAAAAATCTTCTAGAAAATTTAGTCCAATTTCTGCAACTATTCTTAAATTTTGATGTGACCATTAGTTGATGAAATATCAGTTGATTAAAATAATAAAGTTGTGTACTAAAATAAAGAATGCAAACAACGTGAAAAGCCTTGCAAATTTTTGACTTAGAGATCTGAAAATCAGTATTTTGAAATTTCAAGATACTGAATTTCTTCTTTATTATCCCGATATGACCACTTTTGTTTAATAACGACCCGTAAAAAACCACTGAAAGATTTTCTAAAAAGTTTTTGCTCTCTCAATTATCGCGAAAAATATGTAAAAATTAAAAAACCATGGGGAAAATGAGTCTCGAAAATTTGATGGATATCAAATAACTGATAAATTCAATATATTTTTGTCCCTGCGAAAGTCATTTCTGAAAACTAATCACAAAAACATGTGAACGTAAAGTTGCAAATGCAAATTAATCAATTACAATTTTTATGTTTTGATAAAAATCCTGACAGAAATCATTGAATAATTCATTTATCTTCCATTTGCTAATGGAGTTCTTTCCGCTTGAATGATCCATGAAATCTTGTATAGTGGAGGATTAGCTAAAGCAAATAAAAGATTAAGCTTTTGCGATAACATTTTGTTTTTCAAGAAAACAAATATTATAGTGAATTTTTTGCAGGTTGTATCGATTCGATAAAATTAAAGAGCACTTTAAGAGATTTTCTTTAAACACTAAGTTATCAGATACGTCTGAGTACATTAACTATAGCTAGCTCTATTTGCGGCTCATTGAAGGCCTAATTAGTTTCCTGTCGAGACTTACTCGAGTGAACAAGATAGGCAGTTTTAAGTATACGAAGCAACGAAGCGATGCCACCCGTACTAGACTACACTACAACATAAAGTGGAAAAGGCAAGGTACCAGACTCTATCCGCAGTTTGCCAGATACTTTATCGAATTCCAGTAGGAGGATAATCAGATCAGGCCTCGGCTCAGAGAATATATTTATCAGCATTAACTAAGAGAACCCACGGGACTGGTGAGGAGATGATCCGAATCCATGAGAACTTCACCAAAGTGTCTGCTTAATTTTATCCGTCCCTTGAAACTTTACTGATTCGATTAACCCAATCATCATGTTCACAGATCACATTACACGTCAATTTGTTTCATTGGCTTGAAAATAAAAATTTTATTAGTTACTTATTTCCTTATTGAAATTCAATTTCGTAAAACTTATTTCATAATAATGTCTATATATTATTATTTTACCGAAAAATAATCAAATAAATGAATGATATTATATTTTTATGTCAATGTCTTGAAATTATACATTACAGGTGGATCTATAAATGAAGCAGTATTTGCTCTTCGAGATAGGCAAGAGGGGGGCCGAAGAGGGAGAAGAACTACGACTAGTACTACTAGCACAACCACTATAACCACGGCTGCAACATCCATATCCATTCCTGACAACGTAGCACAGCCCGCGGCATTACTAGCTCCCGATGATCAGACGTGGTTCGTCGCTTCAACGTCAACACCATCCAACTTTCCTCTTGTGATAAAAGACACATCAAGATTACCACCATTAGAAATTGTCATAAAACCTCAGGCTAAAGTTGTCCTACCTTGCGAATTAGGTGGAAACTATTCTAGATTATTACCATTTGCCAGGTCAGTTAATCAATATTTATTCCACATTAATAAAATCAGAGCAATATAATAGATTTTTAACTTTTTAATGATGGCCCATACATTGAAGCCTTTCTGAAATTTTTGTTACGTCCTGGTTGCTTCTTGAGTTTGAGAGTTACCAATTTAACAACTACAACAGCTACAAAATCGACGTAGTTCTGTCCGAAATATGGAGAAATGCTAAAAAAAAATTTTTACGCCCTTATGGCTTCCGGGACTCACTTCGGATGCCATAAGGGCGTATCAAAAAAAATTTTTTTTCGGGAATCAATGTATTTTCGTCCGAAATGTGCAGAAATGCAAAAAAAATATTTTATACGCCCTTATGGCTCCCGGGACCCACCTCGGATGCCATAAGGGCGTATCAAAAAAATTTTTTTTTGGAAATCGACGTATTTTTGTATGAAACGTGCAGAAATGCAAAAAAAATTTTATACGTCCTTATGGTTCCCGGGTGCCATAATGGCGTATAATTTTTATACGCCCTTATGGCATCTGTAACGCGATATGGTTTCAGAATATGTTCGAAATAACTAGATCGAAATGTTAATTTAATTGATTGATTCATTCAATTATTCTAAATACACCTTCGTTTAATAACTGACAACTGCCGTAGGGAACTATACGGTTCTATGTGATTTCACTAACTGATCTACTTAATAGAATCAATAGTATGAAAAGACCCTGAAGAAGAGCACCGAACAACCCGTGCACCCTGCTTTTTTGTCCAAGAACCGCGTCTCAGAAGTAGGGTTACGTATCGGATCCCAAACGTCCTGTTTTTTCGTGCAGGACTCGCTGACGTTTGTTTATTATTTATTTGATTGAATCATTTTTCGAATGAAATTCGGCTATCCCCAGTGCACTCCACGCTAGTTATCTCTCAAATGAACTCAACAATATTGTGTGAGCACGAAGAGCTCAAAAGCTAGAACAGCTAACTCTTTGAGCTTGACGAGCTCAAAATAACACATAAATTATATTTTTGACTCGAATAGTTCAAAAAAGTCATAATTGCAATTTTAAGCGCTTATATGGAATTAGTGGGAAGTTGTAGGGATGGCCTTTAGGGTCAACCGTTTTCCTAATTTTTTTGTCAGAAGTATACTTTTATATCATAATTACGTTAATTCTAAAAATAATTTCTTTTTCTTTTGAATTAAAATATCAATAATATTATTACTTAAGTCATTTTTAATGACGTTCATGATTTTACAATGTTTAACGTTTATGATAAGAGATTTTAAATTTAATAATTTTTTAAATCAATTTTTTCATTAATTTCGCCTTGGGCGTAAAATTTACACCCGATTTCGCAAATTTGCGGCACAAACTTTAAGCTCATTTCACAACATCGACGTTTTTAAAAAAACCACCACTTTGCGACCTTATAACGTAAATTACTATTTCAAGTCACCACATGGACAGCAGCGTTGAAAAGGAAGAAACTCAAATTTTTAATATTAGTTGAACAATGAAATTCAATTAAAACCTTCATACGTTAATTAAACTGTGTAGCAGAATTTTGACAATACTCAATTGAAACATTTACTGCCGCAAGACATATAAACTGTTCACGGCGGTAGGCTGCTATTTTCAATCGTGTGTGCTATTCTACTGTCCAAACATCAGTCCTACTATGACAGTTTAAAGTAGAGTATAGTAGATAGACACGGTCATTCTTATTGATGAGTCTATATGGTTGCATCAATACCATGAATTATGAGATCATTTTTCCGTAAGTATATGCTATGTATTATATAATTGATTTCTATAAGTTTTTAAGTATTGAGGTCATTAAAAAAAAAAAAATTAATAATTTTCGGTAAAAAATCTTGATAATTTGTAAATAAATATTATAAGTTTGTAGTCACTTTTAAAATGAGAATATTTATAAAATTTTAACTTACTTAATTATATTAACAATTAAATGACTTTAAAATAGATAAAAATTTTGCATATATAATAAATGTGTGTAAATTAATAATATAATGAAAATAAAACAAGACAAAATTTAAAAAATTTTGAAAATTTTAAAACATAGATAAATGCTATTTTAAGTCCACTTAAATAATCTTTATCATTTATTAAATCTTGAAGTGTATTTAAACATACTCATTTAATGTGTCACAGAGATTTTTATTCTCTGTGTGCGTCCCTCCCTGCGCCTAGATTTGGCAACAGATCTACACTCGGCGTGTCTCTAATTTTCATTATATTGCACGCCTTATAAGCGAAGCGTTGAGGTTGTGCTCTACTCTCGACATTTCGAAAAATGCAGTTTTCTCGAAACTGAAATTGATTTTTTGTTATTTATATCGCACTTACAGGTTAAAATGAGTACACTTATGTCAAGTTAAATAATTTTTCAGACACATAAAATATATTTCAATAACAATTTTTTTGTTTAACATAATAAATAATAACATTAAACATAATAAATAAATTGTTTATCTCAGGAATGTGGACAAGATAGGATCATCATAATAAATTACATTATTATTTCTGCGATGTTTTGGTCGTTTATTCGACCTTCTTCAGGCATCTGAAAATTACACATGTTAATAACCAACAACATAACATAACAATTGCTACAATTACAATATTTACCATAATATGAATTCTAACAATCACTATCCTACATTGCACAGTTGCCTTTGTCATATAAATCTTTACAAAATTAACAAAACTGGTAAATTTATTAATTATTACTCAAACTCCAGAAATAAAGTCAACTCGACACTCATAAAAATTGTTATTGCATGGTAATGGTTAGCCCACTTTCAAAACATTAGGTACATGCATCATACTATACAATCGAAAAACATCAGTCAACTATACTAGCGCCAACCGCGCTAAGTACTAAAATTCAACTAAATATAAATACAAATAAATTTCAAATTCTCTTGACATACACAAATTATACAAACTAGATTGCAATTTAAATTATTTTCTTCTAGTAGATTTATAATCTCTTATTATATCATCATATAGAATACTTAAATTATTGGTGTCCGTTCTTTTATTCACAGTATCATTTATTTTGATAAAAATCATTTCACTAACATTACGTTTCCACCAATTAATTTCTTTGTCTAAAATTTTTACGCCACCAAACTCAAAATTATGATGCTGTTCAAAATAGTGTGCTGCCAGAGCTGTTTTGTTCTCTTTTACTATGTTAATATTTTTACAATCATATATATATTGTTTTACTCTAGCACAAATATTGTTTAGTTTGTCCAACATAACACAATCCACATGAGCACGGTATTTTATACACTGTTCCAGCTTGTTGTTGTTTACTTACTGGGTCTTTTAACTTCGAATAGATGTAATTCGCTCTTAAGATGTTATAAAATGCTAATCTCACATTCGTTCTTATAAAATACCTATCTACCCTATTTGATAATCCTTCCATGTATGGAAAACGACAATATTTAATGCTATTATTCTTAATACTCGAACTAGCTGTTCTATTTTTCAAGTTCTCTTTAAATCTATTAATAACACTATCCACCAACGACAAGTCATAATTGTTCTTAAACAACATAATACGAATTTTCTCGAAATTAACCTCATAGAAGTCACTACTACTTAATCTCGTCATTCTATCCAGCAATCCTTTAATCATACCTATTTTTTGAGACCGAGGATCATTCGAATTCCAGTTTAACAGTCGACCTGAACTAATTGGTTTAATAAACCAATCAGTTATTAATTTACCATCCAATCTTTTAACTAACACATCCAAGAAAGACAAACTATTATCCTTTTCTACCTCCATGGTAAATTGTATATTATTATCGAAACTGTTAAATAATCCTAAGATATTGTTAACTTCTTCCTCTGCACTGAAAAAAAAGTTTTTTTATACCCGGAATACTGAATATTTTTTAGTCAAGTTTTCTTGTAGTTAGTAAAAGTCAAGTTAAATATTTTAGATTTAAGAAAATTGGTATTTTAAATCTGAGAATACCAAGTTTTTTAACAGGACTAAAACTAAATTCTATGTTACCATAGCAACCGTGACGGTGGCGCCACTATTTTGTCATTTCCCTCCAATCTAAAGAGTGTACGCGTGTTTTTTAGTTATTAGTTTACCTCGTGCCTGAGTCTACTTACCTAAATATTTATTTGTGTAAATTAAATAATTTATAAATTATAAATAAAAGTATTAATTATTAATATTACTTCCCCTTACTCCCTTACTTATATGGATTCTTGGATGCAAAAGAAGTTGTCAGAGTGGAATTTATCATTTCCAACAAATTTATAACTCATTTTAGCAATACATTCTTTCCTTATAATCAATTTTTATAATAAGGTAAAAGACCCAGTTATTTTCACTGGCCTATAGTTGTTTGACACTTGCAATTTTATTCTAATTAAAAAAATAAAATATTCTCAAAAAACCAATTATCTTAAAATTTATAATTCAAATATAATATTTATTAAATTATCAGAGTTGATTTATTTTTTTAATTAAAATAAAATTGCAAGAGTCAATAACTAGGTCTTTTACCTTAGTAATATTATTAGTAAATTAGTAAAACAATGCTATTAGCAAGAAATTGCAATTTTTTGACAACAATAAGAATTAAAAAGAAGAAAAGAAAGGCTTAATATACTACTTTCCATTTTTATTAATTTTAGTGTGATAAATTGTTTATAAATGAACACGGTGAGAAATTTCTGTAGAAATTTACTATGCATACATAATAAGACTGAACCTTAATGACTCAATTCAAAATATTACCATAAAAATTTAAGAATATCATATTGTACCAATCAATATTTACTAGGGACCATAGTAAATTTGACCATGTAACTGTTACATAAACATATATAAAAAATTTTCGTAAACTGACTGAACAAAAACTGTGAGTGTGCTTAAAACTTTTCATTATAGTTCCATAGTAAAATTTCTGTTGCTCAGTCGACAATAAAAATTTATAAAAAAATTTGACATTTAGTCACATGTACTCGGTTTAAATTTAAAATTGTGACTATGAAATTTTCAAATGTCCCATAGTAAACGTATGCGCGTCAGTCGCGACGCACGCTCTTTCATTTTTTCGTGCTGCTTTGTTGTAAGATTCCTAAATAATAAAATATATAATAATTTACCGTGAAAAATTAAGATGAAAACAAACATTCGATGGTTAACCTGCAACCGACACTTTTCTAATAATATATTATTATTATAATAAAAAATAATTCAAAAGTTATTCCTCTGGTATCGCTGCAATAGTATCATCTACATATAACTTCAAGAAATGAACATCAAACGGCAACAGCATCAAAATCTGACCAATAACGTAATTCATAACGATGTTAGCTATTACTGGACTCGCAGGATTTCCCATGCTGCTTCCTTCAATCTGTGAATAAAACTCCCCTTGGTACACAAAGTAACTTGAGTCATAACAAAATCCTATGAGATCCTCTAATACATTCCTAGGAACTCCTACCAGGTGTTTGATGTTATCCCATGTTTCCTCGATTACTTTAAGTACCAAGTCCCGACGTACATTGGTAAACAATGACACCACATCTAATGATATCAGTACATAACCTTCTGGTAAGCTAACTGTTTTACTAAATGCCACGAAGTCAAATGAATTTTTTATATTATATTGAAACGTTTCAATCACATAATCAACATAATCTTTTTTAGACGTCCGTGTATGAATGGGTGTATGTGGCAGGGAAATTGGTCGATAAAATGATCGTACCGGAATAATTTTTTTTTAATTATCTAAAGTAACACACGACAGAATTCCTTAGTTAATATGAGCGTTCAATTCACTGTCGTTAAATTATTATTTATAAAAAACTAATATATGACTGTGGATTTTTTTGTATTTCTATCTATACATTTTATTATAGTATTTTTTTTCCTCATCTTGCAGTTATGGCGCCACTAAACCATAGCAGTGTTTTCTGTTTTTTATTATTTTGCTTTTTATATTTTATTTTAAAAAATGAGATTATGAGGCGTGCACTTTTGGATTTTCCAAACTTTTTTTTTTTTATATTATTATTGTATGCATTTATCGCCGTAAGTCTTTGCCACATTATATCTAATCATATTGTAAGCTTGTTGTAGCATTTAAAGTTCAAAGTCCGAAGATGGGTATCGGGACAGGTAATAAAAGAAATGCTAAAGCATAATATTGATAATCGATAATAGATCATAGCCTTGACTTGCACGGGTAATACTCTGTACTATATCGATCGCGAGCAAAGGGACTAGTAATTTTGGCAAATGGCTTGAGAGGCCCTCGTAATCGGACACGAGGCCTCAGACGTTATTACGGTGAGAAAAATCGGGAGACACGCGGGAACCCGCATTGATGTAAGTCGAGTGTGCATCGGGTGTCCTTGTTCGAGTTTTTGCCTGACAATTCGGTATGTAACTCACAAGTTGAGCTTGAGTATTTTTCGAGCACCGCGTTGTCTCCTGGCGTTGAGTACTTATTTAATTATTGTATATTAAATATTTGTTAGTTGAATTCGAGTTGATCCAATTGCAAGTAAGGGCCATCATAGTAAAGTACCTGTCCCAAAAGCCACGCGTTTGGGTCCTCGAGTTGGCCAGTAATGTTTTAAATCTGTAATTATATTTGTTTGAGATAACCCGACGAAGGGATTTGGGTTTATCTCAATAATATAATTGCTGTGCATTTTAATTTCTACGATTATATAATCACTAAAAGTATTATTAATAATTATTTAAAATGTTAGTGATTTATTGCGAATTGAGAATCTCCTATATTTCTATTATTGAATTATTTAGTTATCTTTTTATTAATCATTGTTAAGCTAAGTCGTTAGATATTTGACGATCCGGTAGCACCACATAGAAATTTGGCCTACCGAGTAAAATAAATAATTATTATTATTGAGCGAATATTGTTAAAAACAACAATTCGAAGAATCGAAACTATTGTTAAAACTTTATGTATTATTTTTAACTGTAATTGACTTGTTTGAATATAGATGTTATATTATTATTTAAATCTAGCCATTAGAGGAACGTTATTCATTTCCTTCCTATTTATTGCATATCTTATTAATTTATTATTTCAACTTATCTTTCTGTCCTCATATTAAATTTATTTCGCGTACCTCGTGGATACCTGCGGATTGGCCCCGGACAAGAAAAAAGTTTGTTATTACCCTAAAAGAATGAATAACTGGCATCTAAACGTGCACTAACTCAGCCTAAGTTGCAGCTGTGGTGTTGCTTAGGAGGCTGAGAGCACCTCCTAAGTCCTCTATTATTGATTTACTTCATTTTGGGCAACCTGGACAAGTTTCTATTTTGCTCGACGTCTCCGCCGTCGAGTTATAAAAATAGTAAATCTTTGTTACAAATGACTACTAATTCGTTTACTTATAATCAATACAAAATATAATTAAATAATAACTCTTTTTAGCATTTATATATCAATAACAACAATTAAAAAATAAAATAATTATTAATCCATCAAATATAAAATTGTATCTGATAAGGATTTGATAGTATAACCTTTGCACACTTAATATTTCCCTATCAAAAAATCCATATAGGTAACCAGCCTAGATTCTCAGATGGATTACCACATGGCATTTTCGGATAGATTCCCATATGGTTTCCTATATAGGAATCCAGGGTAGTATCCTACATAGATTCCCATATTAATCAGGCGAAAAAAATTTATTCAAAAAATTCAAAATAATTATGAAGTAATTGCTATTAATTAATTATTAATTGAAATTAAGTCTAAAAAACGGACTTTGTAATTTTATCTAATGAAAAAACTGCTCGCGTCTGATGGACTTGAACCCGGTACCTCCTGGTTTTCTACGCTACTCACTGGCCTAAATCACGTTCTCACAAGGTCTATGTTTATTCCACTTATATAAATTCACTATAGGAATCCATAATTCCGATGTGGATTTCCCATATAGGAATCCATGAACTCTCAGGTTCCAATGTGGATATCCCATACAGGAATCCATGAACCCACAGGTTCCTATCTGGATTCTTATAGGAATTCATACTTCCTATGTAGATTTGGTATCAGGCGTTATTATCCCCGGATAAAATTGCCCCGACAAAATATCCCCATGTCAAAATATTCCCGGACAAAATATCCTCGTGACATAATATCCTCAGACAGAATATTCCCCTTCAGACAAAATATCCCCGTGTCAAAAGGGCATAACATGGTAAAAAGCGTATGTGATGGTCTAATATCGAATAAACACACACAAAACGCATGATTATATCTTGTTTCAAAATTTAAATGAAATTTTTCGAAAAATTTTTTTTTAATTTGGATTTACCATGTAGGAATCCATGAATCCACAGGTAACCATGTAGATTCCTATAGGAATCCATACTTTCTATCTGGATTCCTACGGGTTCCTATACGACGGGAATCCATACTTTCTTATGTGGAATTCCATATAAACTCATGGGGATTTTTTTGATAGGGTTATTATTTCATCTTATAATTTAATTAAAAATCTTGGGTTAGTTCGTAACGAATGTGTTTGATGATCAATAATTTTTATCTAAAATTTATATTTTGGATAGAGTGAGTTTGTTTTTATTTTATGTACCGGGTCAATTTTTTTTTTGTGTATAATTATATAAAATATTTTCTAATCAATATAACAATCTCAACATAATTGATTTACACATTATTATATTCAATAAATAAAAATTTACTTCACTATATTAGTTCTAGTCAACTTTTACTCTAAATGCTTTCAACACTGTTTTATTTTTAAAGTAAGTAAGTACGCGAGTAAAGACGAGTATAGCAAGTTGAGGGTGAAGCCGGGTTAGGTCAATAGAGAGTGCTTTGAGGTTTGACCGTTTGGGTCCGGGTAAGAATATTAAGTGTGAGAGAGAACGACAGAGTGAGAGTAAGAGAGAAAGAAGTTCAAATGCCCAAAAACTGTGACTGGGTATTGGTGTGTGCTTGTGGGCGTAAGAGACACTGGGGGTATTGTGCTCAGGAGCCAAAAAGAAGAATGAATGAGGGCAGACGAGAGTAAACCTTCACAAAGACTAGATGTACACTGTAATACTAAAAATATAATAAAGTAACTGTTAAGTGGCACTAGTTAATATTGCTAGCTTGACCTAACAACTTTCCTGTAATTTCCTATCTTTAAAAAAAATATATATATATTTAGATATATTGAGAAAAATTTTTATTTACAAATTCGCCATGATAAAAAATGAGTTAGCGATAGTCCGTGAGAAAGGCAACATTAGCGAGTAAAAAAGTAAGCAATAGCATCAACATAAACTATACTTTGAATTCGATCAACCTTGAAGAGCTTATATTGTTCTGATTTTTCATAATTACATATGTATTTGAATTAAAAATGGTAATATTCATGTCTTTATGATAACAATAGAGTATCTTCCAGAAATTACCGAATGCGACCAGCAAAATGGCTACACAATGATGTGCCAGTGGACATGATAACAATAGACACTAGAACAGAGATGAGCGGGACAGGTCACAGGTACATTGGAGATTCCTCAACAGCAGCACTTCACATTGACAGCGCGAGGCTGGAGGATGATGGTATATGGAAGTGCACTATTGAGAATGACCATGATGAGCTACTCTTTGGAAGAACAGTCAAGCTCGTCATACTTGGTAAGTTATAAAACGGATTTTTTTCCCAGTTCAATGATCAATTTATTTGATTGGTACGATCATCGTGTGCACTTTTTACCCTCGCCTGTACGAGCATGATTTTATCGCGCTGTCGGGATAACTTGCGAGAGACAGTGATCAATGGTGAAGGACCAATAACGTTGTCTGGCCATCAGGACAAGTGATTTCATCCACGAGAACATGAATTTTTTTATTTGAAAGTGTGTCATATTTAGTAGCCTCTAGCTACTGCGGAATCACTTTCTGTTGTTTTGTATTTTTGTTCTTTTCTTTTAGTTTTGTTCTTTGTTTTTATTTATTTATTTTTTTTTATTTTCCATTATTTTTATGTCAAATCAAACGCCCAAATGAAATTCTCTATCATCTGGAGGCTACGAACAACCGCAGTCAGAATTAAGAGCGCGAATGTGTACGCGGGGTCGCCTGAACCTAGTGGAACGTTTCCATGCACCAGTAATGTCATCCTATGCATATTAATTCGAGTCACCGTGCCACAATATTTAAATATGCATCATGTAAATTTTTTCGTTCTTTGGTTATCTATTGTTTAAAACAAAATTTTTTTTATATTGACAAAGCACAAAAAATAAAAATAATTTATATATTGTCTCTAAAAAAAATATTTTTATGGTATAGACTATTATATGTTCATATTGAATTTATTTGTTTTGGAGTATTTTATATAGTATCACTGAATATATCTGAAAGTGAACTAGTGAATATAAAAATATCTACAAAATATTAAAGATATAATTCTAAATACATCTAAGTTATGAGAAACAAAAAACTTATAAAAGATAGTTTTTTCAACTCTTTCACTTCTAGTTCTGTTTAAAGAATATGTTTTTTTTTCTTACGGTTCTAAAGTTTGTTAGATGTTATTTGCATTATTTTCAATCATTTACTAAAAATTTCGAAAATTTGAAAAAAGACATTATTTATTGAATAATGATTTTAGTTTCACGAACAGTAAAATACTCACATATTTCTGAAAAGCACAAAAAAAATAGTTTTTTTCAAAATCTATATATATATATATATATATATATATATATATATA